CCTCCCCGGCACACCTGGACTCGATTCCTGCCCCCCCAAATAAAGCCCAGGTGTGATCCAGGTGTGCCCAGGTGTGCTCCAGGTGTGTCCATGTCTATCCAGGTGCGCCCAGGTGCGCCCAGGTGCGCTCAGGGGGGCGGCAGGAGGGGCGTGGGCACACCTGGCACCCCCGGAACCGCACAGGTGACCCCTCCAGGTGTGTCCACGTCCATCCAGGTGCGTTCCACGTCCATCCAGGTGTATCCAGGTGCGCTCCAGGTGTGCCCACGTCCATCCAGGTGCGCCCAGGTGTGCTCCAGGTGTGTTCCACGTCCATCCAGGTGTATCCAGGTGCGCCCAGGTGCGCTCAGGGGGGCAGCAGGAGGGGCGTGGGCACACCTGGCAGCCCTGGAACCGCACAGGTGACCCCTCCAGGTGTGTCCACGCCCATCCAGGTGTATCCAGGTGTGCCCACGTCCATCCAGGTGCGCCCAGGGCGGGGTCAGGAGGGGCGTGGGCACACCTGGCAGCCCTGGAACCGCACAGGTGACCCCTCCAGGTGTGTCCACGCCCATCCAGGTGTATCCAGGTGTGCTCCAGGTGTGCCCACGTCCATCCAGGTGCGCCCAGGGTGGGGTCAGGAGGGGCGTGGGCACACCTGGCACCCCCGGAACTGCACAGGTAACCCCTCCAGGTGTGTCCATGTCCACCCAGGTGTATCCAGGTGCGCTCCAGGTGTGCCCACGTCCATCCAGGTGTATCCAGGTGTATCCAGGTGTGTCCACGTCCATCCAGGTGCACCCAGGGCGGGGTCAGGAGGGGCGTGGGCACACCTGGCAGCCCCGGAACCGCACAGGTGACCCCTCCAGGTGTGCCCACGTCCATCCAGGTGTGTTCCACGTCCATCCACGTCCATCCAGGTGTATCCAGGTGTGCCCATGTCCATCCAGGTGCGTTCCACGTCCATCCAGGTGTATCCAGGTGCGCCCAGGTGCGCTCAGGGGGGCAGCAGGAGGGGCGTGGGCACACCTGGCACCCCCGGAACCGCACAGGTGACCCCTCCAGGTGTGCCCATGTCCATCCAGGTGTATCCAGGTGTGCCCATGTCCATCCAGGTGCGTTCCACGTCCATCCAGGTGTATCCAGGTGTGCTCCAGGTGTGTCCACGTCCATCCAGGTGCGTTCCACGCCCATCCAGGTGTATCCAGGTGTGCCCATGTCCATCCAGGTGCGTTCCACGTCCATCCAGGTGTATCCAGGTGCGCTCCAGGTGTGCCCATGTCCATCCAGGTGTGCCCACGTCCATCCAGGTGCGCCCAGGTGTGCCCGGGCGCGCTCAGGGGGGCGGCAGGAGGGGCGTGGGCACACCTGGTACCCCCGGAACTGCACAGGTGACCCCTCCAGGTGTGTCCACGCCCATCCAGGTGTACCCAGGTGTGCCCATGTCCATCCAGGTGTGTTCCACGTCCATCCACGTCCATCCAGGTGTATCCAGGTGTGCCCAGGTGCGCCCAGGTGCGCTCAGGGGGGCGGCAGGAGGGGCACCAGCAGCCGCAGCGCCCCCAGCCCCAGGGCGGCGGCGCCCAGCGCCCGCAGCCCCAGCGCCCCCCAGGGGCCGAGCCCCAGCGCCTGCCCCGCCCACCTGGGGGAGGAGACAGCGGGGGGCGTGGCCTCAGCCCGGGCTCACCTGGGCCACGCCCCCCGCGGGGTGCCCCGCCCCCCGATCCCGATTGGCCACGCCCACCCGGGGGTTAATGGGATAGGCCACGCCCATTTGGGGAAACCACGCCCATTTTGGGAAGCCACGCCCATTTTAAAGCCGCGCCCAGTTGTGGAAGCCACGCCCATTTTTTGAAAGCCACGCCCATTCTGGGAAGCCACGCCCATTTTGAGAAGCCACGCCCATTTTTGGAAAGCCACGCCCATTTTGGAGAAAGACACGCCCATTTTTGAGAAGCCACGCCCATTTTGGGAAAGTCACGCCCATTGGGGAAAGCCACTCCCATTTTTGGAAAGCCACGCCCATTTTTGCAAAGCCACGCCCATTTTTGGGGAAAGCCACGCCCATTTTTGGGGAAAGCCACGCCCATTTTGGAGAAAGACACGCCCATTTTTAGAAAGACACGCCCATTTTTGAGAAGCCGCGCCCATTTTGGGAAAGTCACGCCCATTTTGGGAAAGTCACGCCCATTTTGGGAAAGTCACGCCCATTTTGGGAAAGTCACGCCCATTTTTGCAAAGCCACGCCCATTGGGGGAAAGCCACGCCCATTTTTGGGGAAAGCCACGCCCATTTTTGGGAAAGCCACGCCCATTTTGGGGAAGCCACGCCCATTTAGAGAAGCCGCTCCCATTTGTGGAAGCCACGCCCATTTTGGAAAGCCAGGTCCATTTTGGGGAAAGCCACGCCCATTTTGGGGAAGCCACGCCCATTTGGGGAAAAGCCACGCCCATTTTGGGGAAGCCACGGCCATTTTGGAGAAAGCCACGCCCAGTTGTGGAAGCCACGCCCATTTTTGCAAAGCCACGCCCATTTTGGGGAAAGCCGCGCCCATTTTGGAGAAAGACACGCCAATTTTTTAGAAAGACACGCCCATTTTTGGAAAGCCACGCCCATTTTTGGGGAAAGCCACGCCCATTTTTGGGGAAAGCCACGCCCATTTTGGAGAAAGACCCGCCCATTTTGAGAAGCCACGCCCATTTTTGGAAAGCCACGCCCATTTTTGGAAAGCCACGCCCATTTTTGAAAAGCCACGCCCATTTGGGAAAAGCCACGCCCATTTGTGGAAGCCAATTAATGAATCAATTAATTAGCTCACTGCCCAATCAGGACTCCCTTCCCCCGCCATTAATTAACCCATTCATTAACTAATTACCTAATCAGGAACTCCTCCCCCGCCATTAATTAACCCATTCATTAACTAATTACCTAATCAGGAACTCCTCCCCTGCCATTAATTAATTAACTAATTACCGCTTTATAAACCTCTCCCCCGCCATTAATTAACCCATTAACTAATTGCCCCATCAGGAACCCCTCCCCGTGACTCATGAACCCATTAATTAGCACTAATTAATGAATTAATTACCCAATTAGGAAGCCTTCAGAGGCTCCCAATCAGGAACCCCTCCTAGGCCCCATCGTTAAACAATTAATCCCTTAATTACCCTCCCCCCGCCACTAATCACCACTAATTAACCCTAATTAACGCTAACTAATGAACTAATTACCCAATCACAAACCCCTCCTAGGCCCCTCCCCCACCATTAATCAACCCTCGAATCAACTCATCAATTAATTACCCGATCGGAAACCCTCCCCGCGATTGATGAAGCCGCTAATGAAGGCTAATTAGTTAATTACCCAATTAGGAAGCCCTCGTAGGCCGCCGCCGCCAGGAGCCCCCCCAGGGGCAGCCGCAGGGGCGGGGGGAGGTCGTGGCGCCCCGAGGCCCAGAGGAGCGCGGCCGCCGCCACCGTGCGCACCTGGGACCAGTATAAACCAGTTAGAACCAGTTAGAAACCAGTA